TTCAATGCTGGTGATGGTAAGCGCTATTTCAACATTCCCGGCTCTCGCACTGCTGATGTGGTAAATGTCGAGGGAACCACTAACGTGGGCCAACCGGGCAAATGGGTCTTTCGTATCGATGATGCAAATGTGGAAGTTGGTAGCTGCAATGACTCTGGTAAGTCCCGCAATGACTAATAGATCAATCCTTCTGCTCCTGGCTGTCTTAATACTTTTGCTTTTAGGTTTGTGTTAAATGGACCTCTCTCTACAGCATCAGTGTGCCAGCACCTGCGACCTTGTCTGAACGGAGGTCAGTGCATAGACGACTGCATTACAGGAAACCCCTCCTTCACTTGCTCCTGCTTGGCTGGCTTCACCGGGCAAAGATGCCAGATTGGTGAGTTGTGGTTGACACAGCCTATTGCTCCATGCTCGAAAAACACTGTGAATTAATGAGTACCTTGGATCAGTGTGTGAAAATAATATTACTAGAATACACCTGACTTGCCAAAAGGACACATTGATATTTCCCTAATACCGGTATCATTTGAATCTGTTATATTTTCCCGACTCACTGTCCGTTGACAGAAGTTTTCTTCTAATTAAAAGAGTCACACTACCTCCTTTGTATTTTCTCCCTGTCTCTGTAGATGTTGATGAGTGTGCCTCATATCCGTGCCAGAACGGAGGGACTTGTGCAGACCGGATTCATAGTTTCCTCTGTCACTGTCCTCCTGGATACACAGGGAGTCAGTGTGAAGCAGGTACTAAAGACTCCCTAACGGAAATTAATTGTACAACTATATTGATTTTTTAAATGTCTTGAATAAGTTATATTTATCCAAAAGAAGTTGAGCTGACATTTGTACTCTATTCCACTCTCATTCTTTCACCCTCTGCATGTTCTAAATACTCCCAAAAACTCAGATGAATGACATTATTTTGTGCAGTTTCCCAAAAATACAATGTATTTCAAATATCTTGGTCTTGCCTCTCTGGGGCTTCTTTGCCTCTTCCCACAGTCCAGCCTGAGGAGCTGTATCAATCCTCTCTAATACCTTTCACAGCCAGCAGTGCATACTTGCAGCGTGAGGGGAGCAGTGTGGCGGATATATTAATCAGCTGAGCAAATATTCCATGAGCGTGTGTGTGTGTGTGTGTGTGTGTGTGTGTGTGTGTGTGTGTGTGCGTGCGTGCGTGCGTGCGTGCGTGCGTGCGT